TGCAGTCTTTCCTGGTTGAAGAGGAAGAGTGCTGTGTCAGTGTTAGGGGCAGGGAGGTGGTTGTAGAGGGAGGGTCAAGAAGCTTTTTAGGAGGTAAGCTAAAGCAAGCTAAAACCCTCGGGCAAGTTACTTTGATACATAGTAGGAGATTTGTCTCCATACTCAAAAATTTTTCTTTGCAAATTAGACTGTCAAGTATTTTTAAAAGCAGTTTAAATGCTTGTGGTAGCAGGGATCCTGGCTGGGGAGGCACTTCTCAGCAGGCTGCCCTGGAGGGCTCACTCACAGTTAAGTGAACCACACCTTCCTCGCCCCTGGGCTTGCCACTCTCTTGCTGATCTGTTTTCTCTCTCTCTTTCCCATCTGTGTGGGGGGTTTGGTGACATAATGATCTGAAGCTGATGGTGAGCACAAATTTATTTCTCAGAAACCCCAGTCTCCAGGTGGCTTTGAGTGGCAGAGAACTTGGTGTGGAAGTTGTCCTATTGGGAGAAGAGTTGTCTTACTTATTTGTGTCCACTAGACCTGAGAACCGGAGTGTTTGGAGTTAGTTAAGGCCAGAACTCCTGGGGAATGTCCCTGCCCAGGATGGAATTGCTGGGCAAGCAGCAGTGCTTTCTGTCCCAGTGCTGTGGGGGCGATTGGGGGACACAGAGGCAACCAGGTCAGGGCTTTGGGAGCAGGCCAGCTGCGTGGAGGGCTGCTCTTCTGTTTCAGAGGACCCAGTGATGCCTGCTGTGTGACCCGCACAGCATGGGGCCCTGTGGTGGGAGCAGAGACCTTCAGTGTGCTCTTTTCCACTCAACCTGTGTATGTCTCTTTGGGGTGTGGCCTGTTTGCCCACTTGGACCTGCACTTGGCTTGGACAAAGGCGCTTCTCCCCTGTGCACCTTCCCTCCCAGACTTGGGCCCTCACCCTGTGCCTTCAGGAAGGCCTAACGTGACAGGGAACAGGAAAAAAATTGCTGTGCCCATTCTCAGGGGAAGCTTGGAATGCCAGTCCTAACTGGTGTGCCGTCTCCTGGGTTGGTTGGCTCCCAAGCCCTTGCATGATTCTCCCCTGCTGAGAAGTGCACCCAGGGCCCCTCCTGACTGCTTGTGGTTCTCCAGCCTCATGTGCTGCCCTCTCACCCCGCAGGGCCACCTTCCCTGCACTGCATCGCTGTCAGCCTGCTGTGCCTTGCACATGCTGTTCCATCTGCCTGGAATCCGCCCCCCCACACCTCCCCCTGACTTCTTGTCCTTTGACTTCTCCCAGGTGTCCCCTCCTCCAGGAAGCACTCACTGCCCCACCCCTTGC